CAAGCTTCCCTGAAAAAATGCCAGTACCATTCACTTGTTGATCATGATTGGCACTAGGAGATAAATTTTAATTTTCTTAACCAAGAATGTAAGCCAAAAAGCCCAGGAAGGGCTGGAGCCTGAATCTGTGACCCAAAAAACCCAGCAATAGCTGGAATCACAATTGCTTGATTCAGAGTCTAGAACAACCAACCATTGATGATTCCCCTTCTGCAACTAAAGCAGTACATTTGGGTTTCAATATATGAATACAATTATTATAATAATTATTCCTTTGTTTACCTGTGACATAAAGCTCCAATGCCATCTAATGGCTGACATATTCCTGAAGAAGACTCACTGTGAACAAGAAACAACACTGAAGGCTTATGGTCTTTGAGGCCCTGGAAAAAATTAATGACAAGAAATAGATTTTTCATCATCTAAATGTATTTAAAATTGCTATCTAGGATTTACTATTACTGAATCAAACACTAGCAAAAGCAAAAAAAAAAAAAGGAAAAAAGCCAAAACATCAATTCTGTGAGTCTCAGGATCTAATTTTTAATATCATTCTTTCATCTTCTATACATTTCTTTAAAGTGAGTTGTTAGAAAAAGTGATATGAAATCAAGAGCAACACTTCTAACTATGTGACAAGTTTTTCTATTCCCAATACCAGTTTGTTGAAAAAGGTATGGATGTTGTAAGGAGAGGTTAAATATCAATCAGCTCTTAAGAGTTGGTGGGCAGAGTAACTCACCTGTTCAATTTCAGCATATGTATGGTATTCTCCAGGCGGCTTTTCAATGGCCTGTACATCACAACCTTAAGGAAAACAAGTAAATGATAACATGCTATTAGTTGTTTAATTCCTTAAACTCTAACACTGATGTGAACTAATCTTCATTTGTCTTCACTGTTTGGATCTTTCTGACCTACATGTACAGTGAAAGCCAAGATAATTTCACCTAGATTCAAAACAATGCTTCTTCAGTGCTACAATCAAGATGCAATAGAAAGCTGATATAAAAAGATCACCATTTCAAATGGGCATTTCAGTTAACAATCAGCCACTGTTTTTTTCCCAGGGTGCTGTTGTTACATTTCGTTGAAGCAGAATACATGTATGCTAATGGTTGAGATTAGTGGCAGTAATATATGTCCTTCCAGCAGAAAAAAGAAATTTTCAAAGCATCAATAGATTTTTTTGCATTTGAATTTAACCTCTGGTTTGAATATGCAAAGTAATAATCTATATCTTTTTCTAAGATCTGCATTGCAGATCTCCCTCAGGGCTAATAAACAATGCCTTGTGTTCAACAGATCAATATTACACCCTCAAGCTGCCGAGTTTGTCTAGTCCTATGTACTGTTTGTCGGAGATGTGTCGACATGGTAAGGAGAAGTCACGTGTCGATAACGTGTAGGGGTTGTAAAAGGTTCTCTGTTAAGTTATCATCACCTAATGTTGTTATGAAAACAATACGCCACACATCAGCAAAGTTTCGGCCCAATAAATGTATGGAATCACTGAGATCATGGAAGACTAAGAAATGACAAAATAGACAGTAATCGAAGTAATGGTTTATACAACGTTTCGTTACTATCGACACGTGTTACAACATAATTCGTGCTCATCGCCAGAAAACAAACCTTGTCTTTCTGCTATGTCGCGCGCTCTGTTACCCCACAACCCATTGACACACACTAGAATGCGTTCTCCTCGTTCTACAAGGTTTATGATCGCAGCTTCCATTGCAGCATGTCCCGATCCAGTGATGGCCAACGTGTAAGCGTTATTGGTCTGAAACACGTATTTCAAACCGGCCTTTGTTTCGTCCATGACCTTGCAGAACTCGGGATGTAGATGTCCCAATAGCGGCATTGCATGCGCATTGTAAGTCCGTAATGATGGATTAGCCGGGCCAGGCCCAAAGAGATGAACGCTCGGCAAATCTAGTGGTTCGAGTAATTGTTTTGGTACCGGAACTTTAGTCTGCCATTCCGCCATCTTGGCGCTTAATGAAAAGGCTTTAAAGTTTGCGTTCAGGCAATGTACACGAGTGGGAATGGGAACTCCCCTCCTCCCCATTCTCCTGGCCTGAGGAGACGCTTGCAGACACAGTTTGCAAAACAGTGTGCGTGTATGAGCCATAATCTAGACAATATTTCCTTTGTTTACCGTACGAACTTCCTTTAGGCTCGTACAGAACCCTTTCCCAAGATGGGGTCAATTCAGGAGGTCAAGTTGATGATTTGAAAAAGTGGATCACTCATCGTGATCACATGTAACAAGACTACCTTTACTTTCTTTGCATCCTGCTGCTCACGTGATATTCATGAACCACATGACTTTCCAAAGCAGCCAAGAAGCTAGGCCATTCATGACGCCTGCCCAAGAAGAACCGATATACTTCAAAGAAATCAATTCTATGCTGGCTGTTTCTGTTATTATGTTTGAAAAGTCCATTGAGGAAAAAGAGTGAAAGCAGAACAAACGAAACAAAACAACTCGAGTTTGCATCACTTGGCATATTGCCGAGTCGCCTCAGTCTCCTAACAGAACTCTGTTACTACGGTTGAATGAGATGCCTGCTTAGTTTTAACGCAAAAAAATCGAGAAAACAAAAAAAAAAAGGAATGGAAAGAAAAAAAGGAAAAAAAATAAAAAGGGAAATGGAAATCTGAACGTGTTCCAACCCTAAGTTGTAATTAAATTATCGACACGTTCACAAGGGCTCGCTCTACTTCTCTTAAAGACAGTACAGTACAGAGAGCTCGAAACAACAATGGTGAAACAGGCATGCTTCAGATTTAGCCTCACCATTTTATTCTCCTTTTCCTTTTATATTACTTTTCTTTCGGATTTTCATAACTTTTGTACACTTTGACCAAATTATTTCAAACGCAGCCCGTCATCGTAGGAGGGTCGGTTTGCTCCTTTAAATTTATGATGGTCTTGAAAACGTGTGTTATCTACAAAAAATTTATTCACAAAAGAGAAATAACGATCTTGGTCATTATTACTTTTAGAACTAGGGCTTTTAAACTTGCATTATTGCAATATCACATTTGTGTCGGAGAGAGAGCCATTCGTTTGCAAGTACTTCTCTCTCTAGATGAGATTCCAGTTCGATAGATTAACGTCAACAATGAGATCTCCCCTCATAGATCTTAGCTTCCCGCCAGTTTGCACGATACACTTATCTATCTCATCACAAATTGCGTTTCTTCGCGTTTTTAAAGCGCCTGTTCTGTACGTATACGCATTAGCATTTGATCTGGCTACAGTAAGGCTATCCTCTTCGAAGATTTCCTCCCTCGATTTCCCATTTAGATGGCTTATGGACTTCACTACAGTTCTTTGTTTGAAGGTTTCTGACAAAGAGCAATGGATTTCTTGTGCTTTGGACGCAATTTTCATCATGTAGGAGAACATAGAGGCATTATTTTTTTTGTTTACTGCGTTCTTAGCCTTGTAGTGGTCACCTTCCATGCAGTTGACATCGTATTGATTGAGGTCAAAAATGTATTGCGATTTCTTTGGACAAAGTTTAAGGTAGCAAAAGGGTTGAATTAGTTTTGAAGTCAACGTTATTACAGGATTTTCTTACCTAGTCTTTCAAAAAGCATTCTTTGGCTTTCGAAATTGCCTTTTGAAAAAGTTTATCTCCTTTCATGTTGTGCGCTCGATTGAAAGTCACATTTGTTGGTTGCTTTCAGAATCATCATTGCATGGCATCTGTGCCAATGATGACTTTAAAGGTGACTAAAACTTTTGATAATAAATATATTGAATGCATTTGTCTAAGGAAGTGATAATATATTTTTTTCGCATATATGGAGTTTATTTCAATTAGCATCTAACAAATGATAGTTCTAATAGAGATCATCATCTTTGGAATAGAGACTTCTAGGGTTTGGAATACTAACTAGCATAGCTTTCTACGCGTCTTGATGAAACCAGCTTAAGGCCTAGGATGAAACTATGATCTCCGCTGTTTCAAAAAAGCTACGTTGAAATTTTATGCCGCTCTTTAAAAAGTAAAAAACAAACAAACAAAAAAAAAACAGAGAAGTACATACATGTAACAACACTGTCGTCCACAAATAAAAAATATAAAAAAAACTTTGCGGTCGATATTTCTCCTTCAATATATTATTTTTGCCGGATGCATGCAGGAATAGCCTCTGGCTTGAATAGCACAATCTGACGCGGTTTATACAATTATATTGTAACCAATCACAGTTGAGCGAATAATCCAGAATTCTTGATGCGGAAGTTTGAATTTTTACCATAATCGATTTTTTTGAGGATGTTGTGGCTTCACACACATCAGCACTAAAAAAACACCACTATAGTATTTGTCGCGTTTGTTTGAATCAATTAGCAGCGTAAACTAATGTTAAAACGAAATCATACTTTCACGTGGCATTATCCTTCTGCTTGCAGGTAATTTACCTCAGTGAACCCGTTTGCTTACTAGAGGTGATTAAGTTCATTGAAAATAGACATAAAAGCCGATCTAACTTTTCAGCTCAGTTGTCGAACAGAATAGAGAAAGTTGTACAGCATTTGGAATGAGAGTGAAAAAAGAGAAAAATCTCGGTCCCTTGTGAAGTATTGAAACTCAGACCTTCGCGTTTGGCTGTCCAAGGCTACACTATTACCCTACTACTACTCCCTCGATCCGAGTATTTCTAGCCCAAGCCGAGCCATGACAGTACTGCAAAAAAAGATCACTCTGTGACTCCGAGGTCTGCGTGCTTCTCTTTGTGAATAGTGCTTGATCTTGTTTGCATCGCCTACAAAACACAAACTCCTGAGGATAAGGATATAATGCATGTCATTACAAGGGCAAGCCAGATTTTCCTTAAATATTTTCGAGTCCTAAGTGTTAGTTCTGTATGGGGCACAAACCCTTGACCTTCTTCAAGATGGTAGCTCGCACTCTCCTACAATAATAGTGGATATCCATTCGGCTGTACGACTTCAATGCCATACAAACCAGCAATCTTAAAAAAAGTGCTCGATTTAAATGCAAGAATATGCAAAAACTTATGATGATGTTAAGAAACCGAGAGTTCAAGTGCATTCAACGCTTGGGCCCTTACTATGAGAGCAGCCACAATCTCCCTGTCTCCACCCATTGTGTGAACATTGACTTAAATCTAGCTCTCCTCCCTGGCATCTGACTTCATCCGTCCAGACACCACCAGACCCTTGACGGTACGCATTTCGCTCTGGGATGAGCAGAAGCAGTTGCACGGGAGAAACCCAAATCACGACGTACTACATTGGCGTCGGTGATATCCCGGTTATCGTCGTACACCGTTCCCCACCGCCCGCTGTAAAAAATATCTCCACCCACCAATAGGCTGCTCCGTTATTCACCAAACGAACTGAGACGGACATGAATTTTTGAAATGTGAAAATAGAGCAAGAGCACGGCTGGTTACTTTAACCCTTTAACTCTCAAGATCTCATTAGTAATTCTTCTTACTGTCTGCCATACTGTTCTTGTGATGTTATTTTGGAGAATTTGGTACTGAATCAACTTGTTCCCCTAATTGATATTTTTCGTTATTCTCATTACTTGAATGCTTGGTATTGTATTTATATTGTTAAGAGAAATTCTGTCTTGGTCACTCATGAGACTTAGAGGGTTAAAGCGTAAAATGGCAGCACCGATTAGAGTGCTTGCTATATGGACATTACTTGTCAGCGGGCGGCTTGCTAAAAGTGCTGAAGCATGAGATATATCCAGTTGATTGATTGAGTACAAAGCGTTCCCAAAGCAAATGCAACTGCCCTCTTGCCCTTCGTTTCTCCCTAAAAGGTCTGTGCTTTTAAAGTTTTCTGATGCATGGCTCATCACCTTGGTAATTTTTGGACGCTCAAGGAAAAAAAATTGAGAGCAAATCCAACCGACCTGAAAGATGGAAAGATTTCGTCACACTGACTTTTTGCAAGCACCGTAACTGAATGCTTCTGAAGGATATTTTGTTTAGTACAGGATAAAATTGTTTTGAAGTTGGTCCCGGCCAATGTCAGGACGTTTGAGGAATTTTGTAATTAAAAAAGAAGTTGAACAGCAGGGGTAGCTAATTTGATATTCCCTCGGTCCGTATGGTATTCACGCACTTTTGGTTTGTATAAGAAATCACACTCGTTCGCATTACACATTCGTTCGATTTGTGATACCTGCCAACTCGTACTGATAAATACCAAACGGACACATTTTCCATAAAATTCGTATCGCCCCTTGTTGTATATTCATTTTATTCACCAAAACAAGCAACTCCAAATAAAAACTTAAACATTAAAATGGTACGTTTAATCATTTGATACTTAAAAATCGGCATACAGTTTACAAAAGTACTACAAAACTGAAACACAACTATAACATAACATTAAAAAAATAACTACTAGATAGACAAAGCACTTTACTAGGCTATCATGGTTAGCATTAGATTACAGTAGCTTACCAGAGAATATCGTTCTTTGAGGGGATTTTATACTCTTACTAGGAAGTTTTTTTTTTCTCACCTTTGAAATATGGTGCATTTAATTTGAGTGAATATTTAAGTCTAAAAGATGAGTATTTCGGTTTTAAGCACACCAAAATTAAAGGCCTCAAAGGATTCAAAACATTCGACGCATTTAAATGGACACTCGTATCTGGGGAACTTTTTTATATATTAACGCAATAAGTAGGCTATGATACCATGGAAACGACGAGTCCATGATCTAATTTTAAAGAGATCGCAAACTCTTGAACCTGTCGCGTCAATACAGTCTCAGTTCCTGATAACAAGAAGAGCATTTTTTATTTTTTTCCTTAAAGAGGTTTTTGATTTAAAAAAAAAGTGAATAAATAAATAAACAAATGACGCAGGCTTTGCAACAACGATAAAGTAATAAAACTTTTCTGCTGGAGGGTATCTAAGTGATTTAGTGAAGTTTGTAAAAATCTGTCCGAACCGTGTCAAAATACACACGCAAGGTGATTGATTAACATACGAAGCTAAATAGCGGCCATTTATTTTAAAAGTAAGAACCATGAAGCCACTGTGTAAATTCTTTATGTTTCTCTTTCGCAGAAAGCGACTCACCAAGAGCATTACTCTAGCATTTGCAGCCTTTGTCATTTGTGGGACGTTTTTAGTAACAATAAGGCACCGGATATCA